TTTTAAGAAACTCTCTTGTATGGAAGGGAGTCACTGACCTTTGAAGAAGTTCAATCAGCATTGTATTCTAAGGACTTGAACAAATGAAAAGAGCATAAACCTTCGCCTAAGGGAAAATTCTTGTGAAAGGATGATAAGTTCGACAAGAAGAAAGGTAAAATTCAATAGAAATCTTATAGTGGCGAAACATATGGTATTCGATGTTATCATTGTAAGAAGGAGGGTCACACAAGAAAGGTGTGCCTTGAATTCCTGGAAGATCATGGAGGTAATGGAAACACAACCATTGTTCAAGATGAATTTGACTCATCTGATGTTCTTGTGGTTTCAAGTGGCGACTCGAGAAAAGAGTGGATTATGGATTCAGGTTGCACTTGGCACATGACTCCAAACAGAGAATTGTTCGAGGAGCTATGTGATCAAAATGGTGGATCTGTGCTGCTGGGACACAACAAATCTTGCAAAATTATAGGTATTGGATCTGTGAGATTCAAGCTCCATGATGAGTCAATAAGGTTATTGACTGAAGTCAGGTATGTACGTGACTTGAAGAGAAATTTGATTTATCTTGGTGAATTCGACAAAAAGGGATATGTTTTTCAAGGAGATAAAATTATCCTAAGAGTCGTGAAGGGGTCGAAGGAAGTCTTGAGAGGCGTGAAGAAACATGGCTTGTATACCCTTGAGTTTGAGGTTGTAAGTGGTTTGACAAATGTTGCATCCACGAAACCTGTGTCAAAGACATAATTATGGCACATGAGATTGGGCCATGTCAGCAAAAGAGGCCTGGTCGAATTGGGGGAAGCAGAATCTGCTAGGAGGTGAGAAATTCGAAAAGTTTGAGTTTTGTGAATCTTGTGTATTCGATAAATCCTGTAGGGAGAAGTTTAACAAAGGCAAGCAAAAAACACATGGATCCCTGGATTACATTCATGCTGATATTTGAGGGTCTGCAAGGAATCCTTCACACTCAGGTGCAAGGTATTTTCTATCCACCATTGATGACTATTCCAGAAAGCTATGGGTATTCATCCAGAAGACGAAGGATGAAACTTTTGAGAATTTCAAAAGTTGGAAGATTCTGGTCAAAATTTAAACTGACAAAAAGGTTAAAAGGTTGAGAACTGATAATGGCCTTGAATTCTGCAACGAGACATTCGACAGTTATTGTGTTGAGTCTGATATTGCAAGCCATAAGACTGTAACAGGTACTCCTCAACAAAATGGCTTAGCTGAGAGATTCAATCGAACAGTCCTTGAAAGAGTTAGATGCATGTTGGTTAGTGCTGGATTGAAGAAGGTGTTTTGGGCGGAAGTTGTTTCGACAATAACTTACCTGATAAATAGATGTCCCTCGACTGCCTTGGGAATGAAGACACTTGAAGAAGTTTGGTCAGGACATCCACCTAGTCTCGACAGACTGAGAGTATTTGACTGTGTGGCCTATGCTCATATTATGCCAGACAAGGTCGAACCTAGAGCTCTAAAATGCATGTTCATGGGATACCCTGAAAGAGTCAAAGCTTATAGGCTATGGTGCCTAGAGCCAGGTTACAAGAGGTGTGTCACCAGTCGAGATGTAGTTTTTAATGAAGCAGAGATGACTTTCAAGAAAACTGATGATGCTGACCAAGAGCTAGAACAAAGACAGATTCCTGTTGAGGTGGAGCATGTTGATGTTGAATTGCGTACCTTAAATGAAGTCAAAGAAGACACAAGAGATGTTATCGAAGATGAGGAGACTGATAATGACTACCTGCTAGAAAGAGACAGGTTTATGAGAGTCATCAAGCCACCTTAGAGACTTGGGTATGCAGATCCTATAACTTATGCCTTAATCTCTGCAAGTGAAGTTATAGACAAAGAACCTAGAGACTATAAGGAAGTTATGAGGAGTCGAAAGAAGACTAAATGGCTGAAGGTCATGGATGATGAGATGAAATATTTTCATGATAACAATATCTGAGAACTGATCAAGAAACCTGCTGGAGCCAGGTTAGTCAGCTGTAACTGGATTTTCAAAGTTAAGGAAGGAATCGAAGGAGTGGTGTCGAAGAGATACAAGGCAAGATTGGTCGCTAGGGGGTTCACTCAGAAAGAAGGTGTCAACTTCAATGATGTGTTCTCTCCTATTGTGAAGCACATATCCATTCGAATGTTGCTTGCCACAGTGGCATAGTTCGACCTTGAACTGGAACAGATGGATGTGAAGACTGCGTTCTTGTATGGTGACTTAGATGAAACAATCCTGATGAGGCAACCTGAAGGGTATGTCGAAAAAGGGAAGGAATATTATGTGTGCAAGCTGAATAGATCCTTATATGGACTGAAACAATCTCCTTGACAGTGTAATAAGAGATTCGACAAGTTCGTGGCATACATAATTTTCATCAGAAGTCAGTTCGACCATTGTGTTTACTTCAAATTTCGATCGGGTAATTCATTTGTTATTTTGTTGCTCTATGTGGATGATATTCTAATAGAAAGAAATAATGTCGAAGATGTAATGAAGGTGAAGGCTGAACTCAATAAGGAGTTCAACATGAAAGATCTGGGAGCTGCGTCCAGGATTCTTGGGATTGATTTTCGAAGAGATAGAGAGCAGTCAAAATTATGCTTATCTCAAAAGGCATACACACGAAAGGTCCTCGAAAAGTTTGGTATGTCGAATTCAAAGCCTGTTGTGACTCCAACAAACCCTCAATTCAAGCTGAGTATAGATCAGTGTCCTAATACTGATGTTGAAAGAACTTATGTGAATAACATTTCATATGCAAATATAGTGGATTCTTTGATGTATGTTATGGTTTGTACTAAACCCAATATAACATATGTAGTAAGTCTTGTAAGCAGGTACATGGTGAATTCTGGAGAGGCTCACTGACAAGCATTGAAGTGGATTCTAAGTATGGCCGGAAATGAGTCGAGTCGAGTCGAACTCGCCTCAGCTCGGCCTAACTTGTTAAGAATTGGTTCAACTCAAATTTCGGTTCGAGTTTGACACAAACTTTTTTTTAAGTTCAAACTCGACTCGTTATAAGTTCACGAATAGTTCGATTCAACTCGTTAGATTCATCTCATTAGGTTCAACTCACTTGGTTCACGGACTTAAAAACCATTTTTTTAAGTCTGTTGATTTTTTTTTATATATTTGACATTTTAAATTAACATTTTTTAAAAACGAAAATGTTAAAATAAAATAAAAGTTATTTGATTGAAATTTAACTTTCTCTCAAAAATCTAATAATTCAAAAACTACATAACTTTTAAGAGATGCATTTGAAAGTCTAATTCAAAAACTACTCAATTGAAGTTTAAATTTGTCTAAAAAATCCACAACTTTGTCGAAATATTTAGGAACCATACAATTTTAACGAAATAGTACACCAAAAATTACTAGAAATTGATACATTTCCATCACATAATGATTACACTAAACCGTTTGTAACCTTCATTACATATGTTATTTTAGCAAATGTCACTATACCTCCAACAAGGATGACTCTAAATGCAATAGTCGGTTTTACTACCATAACTAGTATATAAGGTACATATTTAGGATTAAGATTTAGAGTAAATATTTAAACCTAATCTTAAAGACAATATAATCTTTCTCATATGTAATCGAGTTGACTCATGAACCTAACGAGTCGAACTATGTATAGTTCAAGTTCAGCTCATTTAGTTACCGAACTTAGTTTTTCGCTCATATTCAACTCATTTGGTTTATGAACCTAATTCAATGATTTAATTGACGAATTGAGTTCCAAACTATTTTCGAGTTGGTTCGGTTCATTTCCGAACTAAGGTATATAAATGGATCTCTGAGTAAAGTCCTAATTTATGGTGGAGCCTTGAGTGAAGATAGTAAAGCAGCAATCGAAGTTTGTTCACATGCTGTTGATATGATCGCCAAGATGTTGCTCAGTTGTAAATTTTTCCACTGTATGCAGTTGATAAAGCTGCATGAAGAAAGCTATTTTCTTGATGTTATACAGTTAGATCCAAGGTGGAGATTTGTGAGATGTTGGATCGAACTCTCGTATGGTTGAAGGGTAGCTTCTGGTTCGACAGGAATTAAGCATGAGATTGAAGAATGTTCGCATGCTGCTGTCGGAGTAATGCGTGTTGTAGTCGAAGTTCGTTCTAACATGCATTAGTCAATATTGTTAGGGTTGTTAGCATGTTGAATTGGACCTTGCTTGTAAGTCAAATTATTTAAGTTAGCTTGTACCCTAAGTTAACTTGTAATAGGTAATTGTTAAAAAGTTCATTAGGTTAATGTGTTATTTTTCTTATAAATAAGATGCTAGTTTCTCAATCTTTGCAAAAGGAAAAATAGGAAGATAAAATCCTAATTTCAAGAGATAGATGTTATTTTGTTATTCTTGTATACTTGTAATATTGTTTCTAACAGAAAGGAAAGAATAATATTTTATAACCAATCCTCGTTATTCCTTGTTTTTTTACCTTATTTTCTTTGTTAACCCTAACCCTTGTTGTTTCTTGATCATAAAGAAACCATTTATACTTTATTTAAAGATATCCGATTCACAACAGATATTAAAACAAAAATAATTGTATTGTTAATTCAAATATTTTAATAAACAATTTTAATTTTATAAATAATTTTTTTTTATTATTAATCAAAATATTTTTATAAACGATGTTAAAAAAATAATATTTATAAAAAAAAATGTCTAATTCATTAATTTTTATAGTATATACTACTAATATTTAGTACAACTAAAACAACAACTTTCGTTCAACAAGTTACACTAATTTATTAAAATTATTATACATATATACAATAAAATACCAAATTTGACGAGCTTTTTTTTATCTTAGACCGGGTCCCGCCCGATAGTGACCGGTCCGATGTTATATTTTTGTAGAAAAAGTCGACCCGGTTTTTTCACAACTATAAATCGCGAAACTTCTAGGGCCTGTTGAATTAATACATAACCACCGTTTTCGCTGTGTGTGGATCATTTTGTTCAATGGCAATGAAATCGGCACTGAGTCGAGGAATCGTGGCTCGTTCAATGGACTCAACATCTCGTGGAGCTTTCACTCGCTTCTTCAGCAACAAAGGTAAGGTTCTTAGCGAGGAAGAACAAGCCAAAGAAAACGTCTACATCCAGGTACTTCTTTTCCCTTTTTCTTCGTATGTTTTGAATTCGATCTGGTGAGTTTTTCGATTTCAGATTTGAAGCGGTTAAATCGTTTTTCTGTGTATGCAGAAATGGGAGAGGGAGAGATTGGAGAAACAGAAGCAAGAGGCTGAGAAGGCTAAGGCGGAGAGAGCCAAAGAGAGTGCTGATAACAAGGTACATAATTTTGTTTTTTAGGTTATTGATTGGAATATTAGTTGCATATTGTATTGGATTAAAATCAGTCTATGGATTTTCGAATTTGTGTCATGTTATTAGAGATTTGGTGTATTTTTTTGGATATGTTCTTTGTGTTTAGTGCGAATTTTAATTTTGTTTTTGATTTCCTGTCTTTTTTCTTTTGAATAAGCTACTTTTTTTTTAACACGGAAATTATAATTTCTATATTTTTTTTTTACACATATATGACCTAATAGCACTCTATAGCATTTTTCTTTTCAGTTTTGAAGCTATTTGATGTTGTATTGACTGCTGTTTCGAAAGAATTGTTTCTTATCTTTAATACAATCATTTACTCATATTTCATGCATTAAAAAAAAAGCATGATGATGTTCAGCTAATTAGAAATTTGTTTTGTAGCTCCCTATATTTTAAAACTTTAATATGATGGAATACTATCTGTTGTTTAACCACTTTTTAAGCATTGTGGCGGAGATTAATCCATATATAGCCGGTGTCACTTGGTGGGAGGGACACTTCTCTGCCACTTAATGAGATAAGACTTGGTTGTTGTTGTTTTGCTTAACCACATTTTAGCTTTCTAAAATTTTTGGCCCAGCTGAATTTTTTTCTTTTGCCAAGGGGTGAACTTAAACATATTTACGCTTAACGAGGCATATTTGTTTTTTGCACGTCATTGTGTGATTCTGGAGATTACCGAATTGGATAGAGACATGATTTTGGATAAAACATTATGACGGAATTTGATCTATGTAGTGGGTCTTATTTAGTGGGATAAAACTTGAATGTTGTTGTATTGTATCACATGATTCTGAAATCCATAGTTGTGTTTCACGGAGATGGATTCCTTCATGGATTCAATTATCTGACTGATAATTGAAAATTTTAGAATTATCTATTGCGTTTGCAGCAATTTAGTGTTGTTTAAGTTTTATTTTGGTCTCTTTGGTTATTTGTGTATAGCTTCATCATCAGTTTAACATTTTCCTCTATTTTTGGTTGTAGAAATCTGATGGGACTCAAAAGAGCTGATTTTATCAGTCATGCTAGCCATGACATGAAGGTCGGTTGTGGGAAGTAATCATGGGGAATAAAACACATTGACTCTTGTGAACTATTGTCTCTGTATAGATTGTGTGTTCCTGATATTTGTAGTTTTTTGATGCTGATTAGACCATGTTGCATCCAGCAAGTTTGGTACATTATGTTTTTTGATGCTGATTAGACCATGTTGCATCCAGCAAGTTTGGTACATTATGTTTTTTGATATAATCCTTCTTTATGAAGTTTGGTACATTATGTTTCGTGATCATAAGCTAGTTTCCTGTTAGAAAATTCCGGTTGGATCTTTTTACGGGGTTTCTTATTTTCATGCCTGCATTAGAATGAATGCTTGAAACACAAGCTCTTTCACACGTTGGAGTGAAAGCGCACAAGATTTGTTCACCTTAGAAATAAATTCTTCTTTCTTTCATTCATTCATTATATGGGAACAAAAACAGGGTTTGGGATTTTGCTTAAAACAAAATCAACATTGGAATATAAATGAGTTTGGGATTTTGATATGTAATGTTAGATGCATCGAACAATCTCAGCTTTAGAAATTGATTTTGAGAATAAATGTTCTGTTTTGTCAGCTATGTTTCTATTTTAAATGAGTGTATTTATTTATAACTTTTATAGTAATGTACACAACGAGGTCTAGTTTTCTTGATGGTGGTAGATTGGAAATTTTTACCACAATAAACATGTTTTCAACTCCTATGTGCCAATATACCCAATATTTCAACATATTATCTAATCTACTCTAGTTTCAGCTTTTTTATTTATTTGTGAGGAGGCGCCATCCAGGATGGAGGCACCTTTAAAATTTAAAGGGGGATGCCATCCATGATGGAGGCACCCTTAAAATTTAAAGGGGGGTGTCATCCCCTTTGGAGGCACCCCTATACGATTTTTTAAAATTAATTTTTAATATATAGTATGTTTAAAAATATTTAATAAATAATAATTTTATAAATAATAATTTTTAAATAATATTTATATTTGTTAATAATTAATAAATAAATAATAATTAATATTTTCATTAATAATTTCTAAATAATAAATAAAAATTAAATTGTATTTAAAAAATTAAATATTAAATAGTAATTTAAAATTTTATTTAATAACAAACGGGTACATATGAGAGATATGATACACTAATTTCTACGACTTGGTCTTTGTGGTGGAGTAGGGTCGATGTGTCGTCTTCAAGAAATTAGATCATTTCGGATCATGAAGACGAGTCGATGTCTGCAAAGTCATCCAAATTAATAGGGTTGCCCATGCCTTCATAATTATGTTGGGGTTATGTTGGGGTGGTTGGCTCGATAAGGCAATTTCAGGACGATAGTCTACCTGGTCGTAGGGTGACATGGGTGTAAATGTTTGGGTCGGTAAGGGTTGATTGAGTGTATGGTACTGGGTGTTAAATTGGTTTGTTGTATCACATGAGTATGTTTGGTATGGTGGTGGATATTGTTGGTAATTGGTTTGTTGTATAACAGAAGTATGTTTGGTATGGTGGTGGATATTATTGGTATTGGGAATGTGAATAAGTTTGTGTGAATGGGGTCCATTGGTTAGGGGTATGTTCATGGAGTTGTGGTTGTGTGAGTGGGGGTTGGGTTGGCGGTTGGAAATGGGGCTGGGTAGGTTGTTGTTGGGGTCTTGATGACGAGGCTTGTTGGCGTAGGTCAACCAGATATCTTGGATGCGAAATGAAACCGATGGATACCGACATATACCAATTCATCCATAGACATATACCAATTCATGTATTGGATAAACTGTTTTCTCTCGTATGAAAAACACAGTGTCGGACAAAACAAAATGGCGGCGATGCTTCCATTCACGACACTCATGTTTTGCATACTTGGTCCATGGAGAATATTTCCATTGGTCGGAGACTTTACCGGTGTGATACTTGTCGGGGATGCATTTTGGCGGACATGAAATATCTTGCAGCATTCCAAACTGAAACTTGACACGATCATTGTTGTGCATTTCCACGGTGGTGAAGTTGATAATCGGCACCTTTGCACTCCACACTACAGAGTCGTGTTCGTCAACTTCATGAATGACTTTTAGACCAAGATATGACCGTCAAATAAACTGTAGAAGAAAAAAAATAATATTTAGTATTTTCTAATAATATTCAAGGAGACTATATTCTAAATAGGTAGGTTAGGGAGGGTACATCATCTTGATCCAAATGATCTATACGATTTCTGTACTGGGTGATACTGAAATGGAGACAGTTGTCATAATTCATCCCAAGTGAAGACCACCTACAAATCGAAAGAAAACATTTGTTAATAATAGGATTAATTAAGTAAAAGACTATGAAAGATTGGTCATTCTTTGTCTAAATAATTACCTTGTAGCGTATGGGAATTCAAAATTATTTTGTTGGATAGGTGCTAGATTGGTCATTCTTGACCAACCCCAAACTTGAAGAAGAACACCACATTCGATAAAATTTCCCGAATTTGCTATTGCGTTGTTACACAAAGACCGATATAGGTGCGCTAGTATAGCGGACCCCCAACTATATGTTCTTATTTTATCTATGTCATCTAATAAAACTAAATACATAGGATGAATAGCGTTACCATTTGAATCCGGACATAAAAATAAACCTATTAGTAGCATAATATAAATTCTTATTTTTTTAATTTTCAAAATCTCTGAAGAATCTCGGGTTAACCTCATCTCTCCGAATTTTTTTTTTGAGCCATGATAATAATATTTTTTGCCCCCTCAAATCGCGCGGGGTTGGTTCAACCCCTAAAAGTTCTTCTATCACACTACCGTTAGGATTGACGAGACCGTTTACCACATTACCATTAATGGGTAAACCCAATAACATGTAAGTGTCCTCGAGAGTAACAGCACATTCACCTGTTGGAAGATGAAATGTATGCGTCTCAGGGCGCCACCTTTCTTGAAGTGATAAAATGAACTTGGTATCAAGGAGATAATTTTTTATTTTGATGACTTCTCCAAATCCTGCGCGCGCCAAATATGGTTGAATTATCGGGTCATGTGGGAAATGTTTATGCCCACGAGTTCGGAAGTCATGAGTATTCTACAAATTAATAAAACAAATCATTACAGCATTGTATTTATAACAACAGTAGAATGCTACAAATCAATACAACATTGTGAATTATCGAGTACAAATACTTACATAAGACGCGATGTTGCTTGGTGTTCCTCTACGCATTTCGCCCAATGTTAACAAAGACATTTCTTCTATGGACTATATAGTGTGAATATATGAAGAAAATATTGGTAGAATTTGAATTGTTGGATATATTTGATGAGTTTTGACAATGAGGAGGAAGAAGTATTTATAGTAAAAAAATTGAATTTGAATTTTGAATTTTGAATTTATGATAGAGTGAAAAATTAAATTGGTGTAGTTGAAATATTTATTGATGTGTAGAAAAGTAAATGAGATGGTTGAAGTGTGTAGAGAATTCTCCACACTTGGCATTCTGCATGCATGCAAATTTTGCTTTTCGTACACATGTCAAGGTGACTCCAACCCCTTTGGCGCCTCCCTTTAACTTTAAGGAAGAGGCTCAAACCCCTATGGCGCCTCCCTTTAACTTTAAGGAAGGGGCTCCAACCCCTATGACGCCTCCTTTTACCATTTATTAATATTTTATTCGTGCATTTTTATTATATATGTATACATTGAAGAAAAAATTAAATACATCTCATATTATGCCCACTTTTATTCCTCTCTTACACTTTTATTCAAATATGTCTAGAACAACAAATTATATTGTTCATGCTCATTTTAATGGAGACACATACATCTCTGAAAATTCCGGTTTTGGGTTTCAAAATACAGATGTTACCCGATTAACAATGAGTAGAAAATCAAATTTTTTGCATTTCAAAGAGCGAATAGAGTCGAAGATATCGTCTGGTCCAATCACTCAAATCATATACAGAAGTCCCATTTTCTATGACAACAATCAGTTTAAGTATTTTCAAGAAAATATACAAGACGACAACGACGTTCAACAAATGTTTGATAGTCATGAACACTCTGGGTTCGACTATATCGAGGTTTATTTATTACTCTGCCAGACTCAACATGAAATTGGTGAATCTCATGACGAAACAACGAATCTAGATGAAGTTGATGTTGTGGACGAGGAGGAAGAAGAACCTGAGGCCATGGTTGATCAAATGGTTAATTTGTTCGGGACTGGGGACTACACTGCAATAACTTCACTTCAAGATATAGATGAAAAGGCACTACCATTAAGTCATGTGTATTGTCCTCCCTAACACATGACTAACTTGCAATTGAGTGGAGACGATACTTCCTCAGATTTTTTCTACAATCCTTCTCAACAAATTGAAGGTGTTTTGAAAGTGGGAAACCAGTACCGCACAAAAGAAGAGTGCATGAAAGCTATAAGAAAGTTTCATATGGATAACTTCGTTGATTTCTACATCAATCGGAACGAATCAAAACGCTATATCGTAGTTTGTCGTAAAGAAGGTTGCAAGTTTCGGTTAGCAGCGTCCTATCGGAAAAGAAGTGATTGTTGGGAGATAGGTTTGATGGATCCACCTCATAATTGCACAACCAACATCAATCGGCAAGATCATGGAAAACTAAGCTCTCAATTAATATGCCAAGAGATTTTGCATCTTGTGGGCATAGATCCATCTGTGAAGGTGAGCACGATTATCTCTCATGTTGTTGCACGGTTCAACTACACCCAATCGTACAGGAAAGCTTGGAATGGAAGAATAAAAGTGGTACAGTATTTACTAGCACTTCAAAAATATGTTCATGGTACGGTTGTAATAATGGAGTCACTTCCAGCATACACTCCTGAAGGAACATGTGTTGATGGAAGTAGGATATTCTCTCGTCTCTTTTGGGCATTTCAATCGTGTATCAAAGGTTTTGCATTCTGCAAACCGGTTATTCAAGTCGATGGAACATGGTTGTATGG